GGGGGGCCATCATGGTGGTCACGATGACCGTTCATGATTTTTGGGCTTTTGTGGGATGTGTTCCAACATTTTTCGCGGTGTGAGAGCGCCTTTTTCAACCTTGTTTAGGAATTATGCATCATGCGTGAGCAATGTTTTGCCTAAGCCATCCAGCACACAGAGCCGCAAAGTCACTACAAGCGAGTGCAGGCATGACACTTCCAGTTTGGATATTACGATGGTATTGCGCAAGTGTGCAGAACCAAGCAATATACCACACAAACACACACATTAGGAGCAAAAATGCGACTAGGGGCTCCTGGCCTTACTACTAGGAACAAGGACGCTACTAAGAGCAAGAAGCTATGAGGTGCCAAGTGAAGACCAACGCTACTACCACACACATATTCATGCGTAGCGTTGTGCCCCAGCCTGGCCGCGCCCAAAGTGGAGGCCACCAAGACACCAGTTGAGCGAGTATGAACATTTAGCTAGCGTTGCTACTAATAGCGATGCCCTCCAACCTAGTAGCTTCTTGCTACTAGTAGTATTGTTTCTTTTGATGATGTGCAAGGTGAGCGGACCGGAGCGCCAGGAATTTCCTTGCCGGTAGTGGGCTCAACTTGGAAGTCTTCCACTCATTCGGCCAAGCTGCTTTGTTGTGTGGTCCATTTGGCACAAACTTTTGCCAGAAGTGAGCTGTCATTCGTCCTCCGGTATGTTTCCAAGGAAGCCCGCCACTTGCCATCGAAGTCCTGTCCATCTACTTTGTCCTGGCGCTTCGCTTTGGCCATTTCTGTGGGAACCCGAGATGCGCTGGTGCTAGTCATACACTGAAACGCGCGTCACGCACACAGTGAGAGACACTTCACTTAAAAATGCTTTAATAATATTCTAATTTTAATGCTCAACTTAAGTTCTTACACAAGATTAGTTCAATGGATTCAATGGAGTTTCAGCAAATTCCGAGTTGAGTAAGATAGCTTCAGATTATTTGCAGGAATTGATGGTACAGATGCCTTGCACACATAAGATAGTTGGCTTGTTGCCATCTCAGAGGTGGGTTGTTTGTAGGGTTGGGCCTCGTCCTTGGAGCAGGCGCATGTCACAGCACACAACGAACACCTAGCTAGGCTAGCACTCAGCACTCAACGTTCTAGCCAGAGCACTACGCTCAGCCTATTGCTCAGGCTGAGCAAGCCCACAAAAAGCCAAAGCCTTAGGGAAAGGCAACACAAAAACTCAAAGCAATTCGTTTACTTAGTATATCAACATATTAACCACTCGCACAGACAGATACAAAGCTCAGCTTACAAGGCGACGTAGATGTCGAAGTTCCATAGACTTATCAGACCTAGTAGCAAAAGGAACCTAATAGCGATGGCCTCCACCCTAGTAGCAACGGCCTCCATGTGTACAACTCAGACTACCCGATTACACTACACATCGAAGTAGCTGCGTAGTACACTTTTCGCAACTGGGTGCAGAGGCCCCGACAGTGATACAAGAGAGTCATGGTTTACGAATGTGTGCGTCCTCGGCGAAGCACGGCTCCTTTGAGCCGGCGTCGTACATCGTGTATCCCAAACAAGACGAACTAATGCCCTTGTTACCTGGTAGCGTCCTTGCTGCCCGTAGCGATGCCCTTCGTTCCTAGTAGCTTCTTGCTCCTAGTAACAAGGCCAGGAGCCCCCAGTAGCGTCCTTGCTCCTAGCAGAAATAATTTGCCCAACCTTGAAGCATGAAATTGCCGTCGTTGCTGGGATCACTAAGAAGCGTTCTTCCGCTTTAAAGACGTGCTGCTAGCTGCTAGCTCAAGACCTGCTACTTCTACCTTACTTATCTACACTTCACTCGGCATTTTGCGAAGCTGTATGCCGTGTAGCGCATGTGTCGCGCATCCCTTGTAATCAGAGCACCTACGTTTTCAGATTTTCCCGAGCGCAGAAGATCTGAGATGGGACCGCTGTTGGTCTCAGGCGGCGGGGTTGGGCATAAATACCATGGCAGGAAGCCAGCGGTTTATCATCATATTGTGACATGACCATTTTTTTTTAAGCGTGGCATTATCGGCAGTAAGTGACTTTTGCTCATTAAATATGATAAATTATGTTACTTTAAAATTATGGTTTCCTGTGGTTTGTTTGCACCAGCAATGTCCTAAGGAAAGTAAATGGAAGATAGTTTTAGACGAAGCAAACAAGCAGCAAATGACATGAAGAGATGCGATTAAATGGAAGTGTGCGGGCAACAAAAAGCTAATGAAAAGGAAATAGAGAGGATCCCTCCAGACAAGTTCCTCCACAGGCTGAGTCTTTTCGTTGCGAAAGGTTGAGATCAGGTTGGCTGCCCGGGTAGATGACAATCACCATCGCTAGTAGGTTGAAGGCCATCGCTGGTAGGTTGGAGGCCATCACTGTTGTTACATCCTTTCCACCCTCTTGGCTGACTTGGTGCAGCCATGGAGTTCAACACAAAGTCCTTTGATTGAAGACTTTTAGAGAGCGTTTTTTTCCCCCACCTTTGCTATATGCTGTTCATTGCATGTGTCATATGCACCCTCTGGAACTCATGAATCACACACACATGTAGTGCTTGACCTAAGCGCCGCTTAGCGCATGCCACCGATAAGTCCCTTTAAGCAAACAGACCAATATGTCGCTATCCACTATGGATATTTTGCATGTCTGGATGTATGTAGGCATGTGTGTAATTATGCGCATTATGTTTGTGTGTGTGTGCTTGATGCCAAGCGTGATTGCCGCCACCACGCGCGGCACTCACCAGCGACGCATTTGCACGCATGTTTCGCGTTTCTCGAAGGAGCAGAGCCACACAGATGCACCGCCACCTTGCCAAACAGCATGGCACAGCAACACCACCGCCATAATTTGGCCAGACAGTGCCACACCCTCGATGCATGAAAGCGACGCAGCGTGATTGACAACCATGTCGCTCACCAGCGACACGCTGCTTTTGCACATGCATACAATATTGTACATGTTCCGGTTCGCAACATGCAGCCACACACACACACTATGCCACTATGCACTTCCACCGACGATTCGGCTGTTCTCCGCACTACATAGTTGGCAGTTCTGAGTCCGTTCTGAACATTTCGTAGGAAGCTGTTCAAATATTGAGAATTCGAGACGTTAGCGTTTCAAAAGGAATGATTTTGTGAGGCTTCCGCCGAAAATGAAACATGAAGATGTGAACACCCTCACGTTTGAGCAGTTGACACGCGCGATCGCACCACATGGGTTCACTGCAGCGCTTACTTCTTTGGGACGAATGAGGGTGATCAGCTGCAAGTGTCCATGAAAAGGCTTCGGCCAGCTGCCAAGCGGGAGTCCCACGAGGCCGGCTTTTTGGCCAAACAAAAATCGGAAGAACTACATTTTTTGTGTAATTCATTATATATTTTGTGTTTCTATGTTTTTCTATATGTTTGTTTTCTTTTCTATTTTGTTGGCCAAAATGCTGTTTGGACGTGCTTTTGCCAAACTGCAGGTAGGAGATGTAGCCTGCGCCCTGCACAGGCGTTGTGTGCAAGGTTTGAATGGGTTGGCAGAAAGCAAAGCATATATACATTTCGTAGTAACAGAGTGGAGGAAACGCAAGACGACACCTTTAGCAGGTTTCACCGCCAAACCGCTGGGATACTGATCTTCGTTCAAAGCCGTGCAGACCTTGACGAGTGGGCCGTGACAAGTCATTTTGTTTTTGTTTTTTCCTCTTTGTTTAGACTTTTGGCCACTTCATTAAGCCCCCTACCTCGCATCGTTGCCTTCAGGTTGCCAGCTAGCCCAGTCATTTTGCGGTGAGAAACCTGGCTCAGTTTTCCGGCTAGAGCGGTTGACTCAATACTAGCAGCTTCTTGCTACTAGTAGCTTCTTGCTACTAGTAGTAAGGCCAGGAGCCCCTAGTAGCGTCCTTGCTCCTAGTAGCGATGCCCTTTGCTACTAGTAATGCCAGTAATGCCCTTGCTACTAGTGATGCCTTCTTGCTACTTCCACGCACGATGGCGAGGCAATGCGTTGGACAGTTTTTGCATTTTGCAACCTTTCGCACGGTGTTGCTTTTTTCCCGGCGACAAGGTCTGACATGAAGTTGGATGAAGTCATCCGAATTCTTCTGAGCATGCCAGCTGCAAGCAGTTTTTGCCTTTTTGGGGCTGTAAATTGAATACAGCGCACAGACTGAGGTTCCAATGCGATCTGCGTGAAAGAGGTCAATACAGAAGATGGACGCGAGGACGTGTTTTATGTTCAGGCGGGCGGTGTCAATTTAGGGCACTTCCACGCTCGCGTTGCGCAGCGGATGAGTGTTCGTGCACACCTGCATTCACATGCAGTCTTCATGTTTTCTCGACATGTTTTGCATGTCCACATCATTCAGCACAATAATTTGTTCTGACCCAACAAGGCCATGGACTTGCAAGAGGTTCTCGACTCCCTACACTGGGTAGTGTTCCTATTCCACCATTCTATACTGTCTGTCGGCCTGAAAGAAGGGGGATCTCACAAATTTCCCATCCGGACGGAGACCTTTGGATAGGTGCCTAACTCCAAGCAGTTGTCAAGCTGAGTCAAGCTGTTGCGCTGCTCCGTATTTTGCGCAGTTTCAGTAACAGCATGTAACAGCATGTCATAGCCATACCGACTCAGTCTGTGAAAATCGGAAAAGACTTGCGCGCCAGACCCTGTCTTTCTGTTCATGTTCACTTAAGACTGGACCCGCCGCTCAGAGTGGCGGGTTCAACCGGGTTGAACACCTCGCATACGGTGCGCGCTGTTTCGAGCTTCGCCTTTTTACCTGTGGACCGTTTGCCTCCAACCTACAAATGATGGCCTCCATCGCAATGGCCTGGAACCTTTTGATCCATTTCGCCGCTGTCTTCATATTGGTAGCCGGTTTTTTTTGGTTTAGGGAGCCTCCTGCTGCACTCTCCGTGATGACCAGCGAAAGGTTCAGCACAATTAAGACCAGCGTCAAGGGCTGCAAAGGCAAAGCACCTCAGGGAAGTAAGAAGTAGCTTCTTGTTACTAGTAATGGCCTCCACCCCAAGCGATGGAAGTAAGAAGTCGCAGGGTCCAAACCGTTTCGACAGGCACTTGAGGCCCACTCAAAGGTCGAACAGAACTGCAACGTGGTGAGGGCGTCCGACGAAAAGGGTGAAAGAGGCCCTCGCAATCCCGCGTCACGTTGGGGAACCGTTCGGGTCCTAGAGTTGAATCTGGCAAACATAGCGAGTTAAAGCAAGGTAGAGTATGTCACAAGGAAATCCAGGCTTTGAGGACAAGAACGCCATTTGTGCAACTGTTTTGAGCTCAACTGCAAAGCAACATCGCGCAGCACCGGCAAACAGCTATGCTCAACTTGTACAGTTGGTGTACAAGTTCAAGTCTTTGGTTACAGGCTTCCGTGCCTATCCCTTCTGAAAGTCCGAAACTGCAGTAGAGTGTGTGGAACAGTACACTCAGGGCGCTTTTAACTTCCCGACATGAGGAAGGGCTGTTCTGACAATAGCAAGCAGGCCCAACTTTGGACTGATTGCTAATTGCTAAGGTCCAAGAAGACCTGATGTCTCTGCAGCTTCAGCCTCTGCATGTGTTTGCCTTCTGCATCTTTTCAATTTGCCTGCTTTTCTTCAGTTTGTTTTGTGTGTTTGATTGTCCCCAACCCCGAAACCCTTTCTCAAGCTTCTTCCTTGCATAACTGCCTTTTTTCCTCCCTGATTTGTCTAGAACTTTTGTGGTGCGGCGTAGCAAAGTCAAGGCTTGGCTGGGCAAACAATGAGGCTCCCGCGGTTTTGGCTTGTGACTTGACTCAGGCATTTGACTCCATCTCTCAAGGTGAGTTGTGGGAAGTGTCCGCAACTATTCCTCACCGTGCGCGAGCTGGGTTGCTCCTCGCACCCGATCTTTGTATGCTTTGTTAACATAAACTTCCCGGTGTCGCTTCAAGCTGCCAACACCTGGTCTGGTTGTCCTGCGACTTGCCACTTTGAGTTGCTTTTTGGTTGCAGGGCCATGCCAAAGGCTTTTGGCCTTTGGCAAGGTAGAGTGCCAGTGAGGAGAGTCTGAACATTCAATTGCTCCGAAGCACTTAGGAAGGTCTTATTGTCGCGACCAGACCTATGGAAATGTCCCACCAGACCTACTCCCTGTTGGAGCGACGCGTGTTGTAAATGGTCAGAAATCGAAAGACGGCTACTATAATTTAATCCTTGTTTCTAATAGCTTCTTGTTACTAGTAAGGCCCTTGCTCCTAGTAGCGATGCACTTGTTCCTAGTAGGGTAGAGGCCATCGCTACTAGGTTGGAGGCCATCGCCACTAGGTTGAAGGCCATCGCCATTAGGCTCTGCAGATTGAGGGGCAAAGCTTTGGCGAATGGCACAGAAGGGCGGACGTGTTGGGTGGTGGATGCGGAACTTGACTCTGACAAAACCGTGGTCTATACAGTGGCAACGACAATAGCATGCAAGCTTGACATCAACACCCGCTTTAAACAAGCGAGGGAAAGCATTGTCTACGAGACACCGTTTAAGGGGCAGAATAGTCTATGGAGAGGCCGATTAAAGGCAAAATGGTGCACAGACAGTTGGACAGCCCGGGAGGCTCCAGAGAGACATTTGTGCAGCACAATTTCGCCTCACTTTCGGAGGAAATCTCGTGCACAATGCCTTCGCGCTCGCAACATTGTCAAGCCAGAGTGTCCCATAAGAGTGGCGCAGAAGACTGTTGCAGCAGGGCGTCCAACTATCCTGCATGCGGTTTGTGGGTTCAATCTCGTTCAACCTTGTTCCTTGCAGCAGGGCTGCTCAGGAGCCTCCACTTGGCGCAGGCGACCCTTAACCATCCTTAACGTACAATAGCAGCAACCCCATGGGGTGTCCTTTCTTTGCCTTCCATTGCTTCCACCATCTGCCAAACCCTATTGTTGCACTTTTCGCATGCTTGCAGCTAAGTCACTGGTTGCTCGTGTGTTGCAACTTCGAAGTTTCCTCTATTTCTTTCCAGTGCTCGGCTAAGTTAAATTTGTTCAATTGTTAAGTCAATATTTGATTGCACATTAGTGGACAGGTTTCATCAAATCTTCCAACAACTGCTGGCATAATAGTAGCTATGGTATTCTCAGCCAGCATGTTTAAGCATTTTGCTGGCTAAACAGGTGTTTTTGCCTACTTCTACAAACCAGGGGGCCGTTTCAGGCAAAAAAGCCCTTGATGCGGCTATACAGTCACGTTTTGTAAAGTAGTGACGTTGCACGACGAAACAAATTAACAATTAACAATTTGTATCTATAAACAATTGATTTGTATGTCTTTGTCTCAGTCTGCAAATTCATTTGCCATTTGCAGGTGACTGGCCCATCTGAGGCTGGTGACCCCAAGTTTGCTGCAAGATTTGCCCTGGGTAGCCCAGGCTTCTGTCGCTTGTATTTCCTTGGTGGACTTGTTGGAGGCCTGAAACAGACTGGAAACTTGAGTTGTGTGATTTTCGGATTTTCGCATATTTTGTGGGGGAATTTGGAAGGCGCCGCGCCACTTGCCCCTTGGGTGCTTGCTGGATGATGGAAAAGCGAGACACTCAATGAATCGCAGCTACACATTTGTGCACGGTTTTATTGGCTACAAACATCAGACGGCTAGGTGCTTTTGGATGTCTAGTCAAGTCTATATGTTTGACATATGTGTTTTTTATTGTTGGGTGTAAATTTTATTGAATTCTTCTTTCTAATAGCTTCTTGTTACTAGTAGTGTGGCCAGGAACCCTTAGTGGCGTCCTTGCTCCTAGTAGCGATGCCAAGAGCCCCTAGTAGCGTCCTTGTTCCTGCTTTGGGTGTGATGTTTTAAGGCTCAGGTTGATGCTGATGTATTCGTTGCATGGTTTGCTGTGCGCACGCGCGATAATAGAACCTATTTGGCTGAAACCACTCGGCGCGCGCCAGGCAAAGCCAGAAGATGCACTTAACTGCGGGAATCTGCATTCCAAAAGGAACATATCTTCCAACTGCAAGTGTTCAATTGTTCTAACAACTGCCGTGGAGGAGATATCTACAAACCCGCGTATATTCCGTTACCGGATGATATTGTGTAAATTCACGAAAATAACTAGGAGCAAGGACGCTACTAGGGGCTCCGCTCTCAACTCTCTTTCTTGGATCTCGTCCAGACCAGCGATGATTGTCGCCTACACTGCCTACACTGTTTGCAACTGGCACCCATGTCTTGAAATATTGCGTTATGTATTCTTGTCTGCCGCTAGAAGCTACTATATAGGTGGAGGCCATCGCTTCTTGTTTCAACCTGTCGAAAAAGAAAGCTCCTGCCAAGGTTGCTTGAAGAACCCTTTGTATCAGAACGGTTCATGTTGCTTGGGGGAAATCACGTGTTCGCATTCAATTTCCAGTGTCGCCGAGAGTGTAGCTTCCTGGTGGATTCTTTTGCGCTTGTAATTTTTGCGAGGGGCTGGCCACAATGCAATCTCCCGTTGCAGTTGCATTGCCTGGAAATTGTTGGCAAGATCTGCAAGCTCTCTGGTTGTGCGAACCCAGATTTGGTGCGGAATTGCGTTTCCAGCTTCGGCCTGATCCCCATATGGCCTCCATGCTCGGCCTACACGTTGTAAAGACGACTTGCCAGGACTTGCAGAAAAAGCATCGCTATTAAGGACAAACTGAATTGATACTCAGCACATCTCAGCACCTTTGAAGCAAATTAGTACCGAAGCACTCCCCTGAAAGAAGTGAGAGGAGAACACATAGTTACAGTAGATCATCCCAGAGCGATTGGAGGCTGGTCCAGCAATTGCTCCAGCTCAACAAAAAGAACTGAAAGGAAACAACAATGTCAGCTTGCAGAGCGACAAATCAAAGAACACTTATTCCACCGAAGCAAAGAATCTCAATCCCCATGGGCTACGCTGGTTTTGTGTGATCAGAAATCCATGAACCCCCGGCCAAATCCCGAACTCGAAAATAGATAACTAAAAACATTTTAGTGTATTGTTCATGCAGTCAGGAATCAGACTCTGGTGTACAAAATGATTTTGTCCCTGCAAACATCCAGCAGCACACAGAGCAGTGGCAGAACGTCACACAGTCCTTAGCGCGTTTCGACTTTTGTGTCCAATGTCCTGCTGAAAGAATGGTCAAATACCTTCTGGTTGCTGGTAGGGGCCGGAGTTCTTTTGGACACTCGGTGTGGTTTGTGCGACCAGAGCTTGCTTTGGACTGGTTGGTTAGGGTGAGAATGATGGTGAGGCACAGCGGATACCCCGCGCATGTTTGAACACTGTAGCAACACACTTTATTTCAGTAACAGGTTGGCGTCCAGAGAACGGGCACGTCCGAGTTTATGGGTTCAGGTTTATTAGCTTCTTGTTACTACTAGTAAGGCACCTGTTACAACTAGTAAGGCACTTGTTCCTAGTAGTAAGGCACTTGTTTCTAATAGCTTCTTGTTACTACTAGTAAGGCACTTGTTACTAGAAGCGATGCACTTGTTCCTGGTAGCTTCTTGTTCCTGGTAGCTTCTTGTTACTACTTCACAATGTTTTGTGTGCTAATTACGTGGGGTGAACCGTGGAGGAAAAAATATGCGCACAATTGCATGGTGTCTCCTACATTTCTTCCGTGTTCCATGGGCCACTATATATTCAAGAGCTTGGCAGAAGCGAAGATGTTCAACACAAAAACTTGCCATTTCTGGTGTGAAATATGCAAAACACGTTGCAATTAAATAGTGGATGATAGGATGATAGTTGCACTGGTTGTTGGGCCAGCCTAGGTATAACAGATAACCGGGAACGTAAGACAAACAATGTAGATACAATGTCGTTTTTGATGATTGCATGCCCACAGACTTCAGGAAGAGTGTGAACTCTATTCTGTTGCGCCTGAACCGTTCTGGGCTCAGAGTAACATCGCTTGCGCAAGCAGAATGACAGCTTGAGCCGCCAGGTACAAGGAAAAAAACGTCGAAAGCGAGCTTTCGGGCCGCTTGCGCCGGCCTCAGTACATGTTTAGAAGCAGGAACAAGAAGCTACTAGGGGCTCCTGGCATCGCTACTAGGAGCAAGGACGCTACTAGGGGCTTCTGGCCTTACTACTAGTAACAAGAAGCTAGTAGGTGGAGGCCATCGCTATTAGGTTGGAGGCCATTACTACTAGGAACAAGAAGCTACTAAACAAGAATGGCAACTGGTTTCTGCGGCCTTTGTCGGTATCACCGAGGCCCTGGCTAGTTGGCCTGCTGTTTTTTTTGACAGTGACTTCGGCCAACTTGCGCGTTGCGTGATTTGAGATCCGACAGTTCATATCTTTACTTTTCTTTTTCTGAAGACTCCGCTCTGATAGCCTCTCATTTCTTATGCTTATGTTGGTGTTGCATGTCACTAGACCATAATCTATTTTGAATCTATATATAGTCTAGTGCTTATCTTGCATCCAACATTCCTAGAAAGAAGAACAGTTTAGGTGTTTAGCCAGTGCGGGGTTTTGCAAACAATTTCATTTTTTGCTATTTTTTTAAAATTGGAATTGATGAGCTTTGCGTTTTGCTCATGCCGGGCCACTTTCAGTGTGGGCTTGCTCCAAGCCCCGTTGTTTGGCCACAATTGGTCACCAAATGTGGCCCATAACAGACTCCGGTTTTGGACTACCATTTTACTCCGGTTTATCACTTGCCGGCCGTTCTTGTGGAACCGTGCAACTGTTGTTCAGCGCTGTTCATCATGTTCCCCCTGAGAAACCGCGTTTTAAAGGTAATGTTCAACATGCTTCTTTCTTGGCGTCGCTACTAGGGGCTCCTGGCCTTACTATTAGGAGCAAGGACGCTACTAGGGGCTCCTGGCCTCACTACTAGTAACAAGAAGCTAGTAGAAACAATCAGCTATAGAATTCAAATGAAAATTTTAGAGGCAATAGTAGCTTCTAGTAGCGATGCCCTTTGCTCCTAGTAGCGAACATTGCTCCTAGTAGTAAGGCCAGGAGCCCCTAGTAGCGTCCTTGTTCCTAGTAGCGAGGCCAGGAGCCCCTAGTAGCGTCCTTGGTGCTGAAGGAGAGTACACATTTTTTCTGGTGGTTCTCAGGGAACCCCTCGGATAGTACGAAGACGGACACAGGAATGGATGGAATGGCTGCAGTGCGAGTGATCATTTGCGGTGAAATGGCTATAATCCTGACTTGACAGATGTGAGCCAAGTTCAGAATAGAAAATTTGAAACTGCCATGCCAGTTCAAGCTGTTGCTAAGTTGTTCTGCCATTCCCTTGCTGGCAACTGACAGTTCTCCTAGTGCAAGTTCCGGTGTGCAAACATGTTGCTTGCGAAGCCGCTGTTTTTCATTCAATGCATAAGTTGTCACCCTCAAGCTACCTCAAGGGCTTCCGAGGTCCATCACCAAAGTTGGTCTTTGGTGTCCTTAATTATATCAGTGTCCTTAGTTATTGTCAGGGTTTCCTGGTAGCTTCTTGTTACTAGTAGCGATGGCCTCCACCATTACCAAACATTGGACAATAAGAAACGCAGAAGATAACAAGAGCCCTTTGAAGAGGGCCTTCTTAAAGAGACCCTGCTTGTATCAGCTGTCCTTTTTTCTCCAACAGCTTATATCACCGTTAGGGCCTCTCTTAGGAAAAAGTGGCTGGCCACGGTCTCCGTCCATGGCCACGCCGTCCGCGCTTTCTTCACCCAACCTAATAGCAAAAGGAACCTACTACCGATGGCCTCCACCCTAGTAGCTTTTTTGCTACTAGTAGTAACACCAGGAGCTACTAGTAGCGTCCTTGCTCCTAGTAGCGATGCCCTGTGCTGCTAGTGGCGTCCTTGCTGCTAGTAGCGATGCCCTTGTTACTAGCGGCCTCCAACCTAGAAGCGCCTTGTCCGGACGTCCAAACCCTTCTCCGGGTCTTTGCATCCATGCGCCGTCAGCCCTTGCTCCGCCTTGTCAGGGCCTTTCTCGTCCGCTTCAGGGTTTTCCCTTTCTCCACTGCCTGGGCTAGTGCAACAGTGATGTAGCGTTTCCAATTCGATATCATCGTGTTCCCGAAACACATCTTTTTTGTTTACATGCTGGTCTCCAAAAAACAAGTTGGAATTCAAGGAACTGACGCAAAACACTCCTACTGAAACTGCTTGCGGTCTTTCCTGGTATAATTTTCACTTTTAATTGTGCATTGTTTCCACGACCGTGCGCCACCTTGTGTGCCAGGTGTCATCTGCAATCCTCGAATACTTTGATGGCCTCCTGCAACAGCCGGGCGCCTGAGCATCCTGACCGTGTCAAGACTGTGTCCTTACAGATTCGTACCCTCTCACTGTCTCTCACTTCAAGTGCACTGGGATGTTGAGCTATTTCCTGACCGCCTCTTTCAGACTTTGTTCAAAAGAAGAAAGAAACATAAAGAAGCGAAAGAAAGACAACACAGAAAGGTGGAAAGTGGTGGAACAATCGCACTTTGAACATTCTGACTGAGGCATTTGATCATCGCCTTTTACCTCACCGCCCTTGTTGGGTGTGGAGGGAATGCAGGTTCTCAAGCTGCCTCATTGGTTCTTCAGGCGCTTTGGTGATGAATCTCGCAGCTCGCCTTTCTGACTGTGTGACGCTTGAGCCCAGGCTTTGGCGACAGGAGAACTTGTGCACCTGGCACGGTTGTGTGTCAACTGCTACCTTGACAAGACTGGAGAACACGACCAGATTGCAGCCCTTCTTGATTGGCGACCATCGCTACTTGGGTGGAGGGCACCGCTAGTAGATTGGAGGGCATCGCTTCTAGGGTGGAGGCCATCGCTATTGGATTATTTTTCTTGTTTGCTGCTAAGCCGCTAGGTGCCAAGCTTGAGCGACTTGGCAAGTGTCGTTTTGAAGGACCGACTTAATTGATCACAAGATCCATGGTCAAAAAGGCGACATGAAGAATCCATCATCACCCATTGTTTTGCCCTTGAGAGAGAGAGAGAGGGAGCACAAACAGTGCGGCTTGATTGTAGGCAGACAGCGTGCTCTTTTCATACTGTGCTTTTCCACAACACGGCAGCCCGTTACTGTAAAGCTCCTGTTGAAAAAAAGAGTTGTTGCAGGAGCTACAAGTCAGCCTTGGGATTGCACTCGTGCTGGCCGGAGGCAGCGGGAACTCAAAGGGACCGTAGCCATAGACTCAAGACGACAGCCTTTTCTATAGGACCTTTTTTGTTTTTTAATAGCGATGGCCTCCAACCTAATAGCGCTCCATGCAAGCGCTTGTGTGAAGAGGCGTGGCACTGCGAATCGTTTTGTGCCACGGCTGCACCACTAGCCAGTGGCGGGGCCAACTGTGCTGTTGACCAGTGATGGAACAAGCTGGTTGCAAGATCATTTTTTTGCCTAAGGTTTGGTGGCACTCCGATTGATGCAGCTGCAATTGCGCTGGCTATGGCCATCACAGTGGGTGACCCTGTTTCGGAGAGAGGGGCAGCGTGGGGTGCCGCGCTGTTTGGGGCCAGTGAGCTGAGCAAGCTGGACAAAGTTTTGAAGGAAGTGCATGCTTGTTTGTTTTCAAGGTTTCTTCTTACTCCAGGTTTCATTGGTTTTTGTTGCGAGGATCCAACGAAGAAAGCAAGCAGGGGAAACAACATTGAAACAAACCAACAAGCAGACAAGAAAGGAACCAAGACCGGAAGAAAGTTAGGACCTAAGGAAGTAAAGGAACAACATCCAAGCAAGCCACCAAGAAAGCATAAGAAAACCAACCGCAAGAAAGCAAGAAAGGAAGGAACAAACAAACCGAGGAACGAAGGCCATGAAACGTGGTGAACGTCGCTCGAGAGCACGCAATTTATGGCCTCCTCCCTAGAAGTGATGACCTCCAACCTAATGCTCCTGTGAGAGCTGTTTTGGCATCAAGATGTCAACACAGTGCGAACAAAGAATCGCAAGCAAGCAAGACGATCGGATTTTGCGTTGAACAAGTTCAATCGCCACTGCTTTTGCCGCTCGCGTAGCCATTCTTATTCCGGTGTCACTCGTCAGTTGGTTTTTCATATAAGAGTGGGAACCCCAAAGGCCTATCTAAAGGTCTAAAAGCGAACAATAAATTGTCTAAAGGTTTATAAAGCCTAAAGAAGGAAGAACCGAAACAACGATCACTCTTCGCTCAGGTCACCTTCTCAGTGATCTTTGGCGCTTCAGCACCACTTATACTTCAGCGGCTGGGCGTGCTCCAAGCAGAAGTTGCATCCGATCTTGTGATCCTTTCGACCTTTTCCTTTTGCTATTTTTCTTAAAAGCAACTTGTTACTACTAGTAAGGAACTTGTTTCTAATAGCTTCTTGTTACTACTAGTAAGGCACTTGTTACTAGTAGCGATGCACTTGTTCCTAGTAGCTTCTTGTTACTACTAGTAACTTCGGAGACTGTCTTCTTCTTTTTCTTGGAGACTGTCTTCTTTTCTTTCTGTCCTTCCTTTCTTTCTTTGGAGTCCAGCCGTTCTACTTGCGCGGCAGGCAGATCCAGCCAAGGCTCTGCTGCAGCTGGGTTTTTGTGTTTAGAACAGTGGGAACTTGCGGCTTTCTTTTTTGTTGGCAGTGAAGGTTACAACTAGTTTTAACTATGCTAGCTCCATTGCTGATCCTTTGGGTTGGTTTTTGTGGGTCTTCGCATGCCTTGGCTTGGTCGTATTTTATGCTCGTGTGTTTTCTTGTAGTTAGTTTTGCCCCTTTGTCTTTGCCCGGCCTTCCCAAAAAAATCAGGTGCACAGCGTCAAAGTGCAAAAATGCAGCCTTCTCATTGAAACAGCAATCACGCAAGGAACGGAAGATAAAGCATAAAACCATGAAGCAGCGTGTTCTCACCGACAGGTTTTCACTTTCTCTCACATTGCAATTTGCATTTCAGGCTCAACAGTTGGAGTTTCAGCTTTCCACAAGATTTTTTTTTGCAAGGGCTCGTTGGCATGGATAAAAGACTAATTTCTGCAAGGTCAAGTGTCAAGTACTGAGTCCTTTGGTGACGCGATGATTAGCGACTTGTAGGTGTGAGAGAATGTGTCAGTAGAGGACGCTACTAGGAGCAAAGGCCATCGCTACTAGGAGCTACTAGGAACAAGAAGGCTGCTCGGGGTTCCTGGCCTTACTACTAGGAGCAAGGACGCTACTAGGGGCTCCTGGCATCGCTACTAGGAACAAGAAGGCTACTAGGAGCTTTTTCACACATGTCAAAACAACGGCCGGAGCAGCATAGCAAACCTGTACAACCGGGGTGCGAACTCGTGAGGGAACAAAAAATGGCATAGGTTGAAACATGCCGAAACTAAATCCACAAGAAAACAGCAAGAGAAAGAAGAGAAACAACAAAAATAATGGCAAGCTTTAATCGCACCGGAAGGATCCAAGCTTCGGTTACTATAGTCCTTGTGGACAAAAGGTGGCTGTTGCTAAAGGATGGCTGTGCCAACTTGCTCAGAGGGTCAGGCCGCCTTTGAGGGTTTTTGTATGGCAGAAAAACAAAACATAATATAGCTTAATTGTTACTACTAGTAAGGCACTTGTTACTAGTAGCGATGCACTTGTTCCTAGTAGCTTAATTGTTTCCTTGGCCTTCCTTAAAGATTTAGAAGCTCGAGGTCCAAAAAGATCCAAAAAGACTGGACCCCGACCCGGATGTGCCTCCTCTTCTTAGGTGGATGCCTCTTCCGTACAACCAGCACATGAATCGCTTGAACTCCACTTACTGCAAAAGAGAATATAATTAGTGCCGTCTTTTTTATCATTAGGGGGGACCGGGAGACCATCGCTGTTAGGTTCGGAGCTTTTATACAAGCATTCATTTTGTGCTTGCACGATTCACAAGACATGCTTGCACGATGCTAGGTGAGTGGGCCTCTTTTGTCGACTGTTATCGACATTGCTGGGGTCGACGCCTCAGGAACGCCGGTAATTACTATCAAACACAATATAGTATAGCTTCTTGTTACTAGTAGTAAGGCACTTGTTTCTAATAGCTTCTTGTTACTGCTAGTAAGGCACTTGTTACTAGTAGCGATGCACTTGTTCGTGTGGCATCCGGTAAATCGTATCAAACATTGTGGTGCAATAGAGGGGCGTTGTTCAATGCCGACCGACCCTCAGTCAGGCGTAGGGGCATGAAGCTTTGCGGGTTCCTTTCACAAACTTCTTGGAGCTCAGCTTGAGTCATGATTACCTCAAATTAAGAGAGGACTACCTAACTCCTAAGTTAGGCCTGATAGATTAAATCAACCCCGCCCAGTCGAGGTTTTCTTTTTGGGATTGATGAGGGCTTACACTTATAATCGGAAATGTTACTTGTTGTTTCTTGAACATAGGAACCAAGAAGCTACTAGGGGCTCCTGGCCTCGCTACTAGGAACAAGGACGCTACTGGGGGCTCCTGGCCCTACTACTAGGAGCAAAGAAGCTTTTAGAAACAAAAAATAAATGCACTAGCTTGGGGTAGTAATTGGGCGCGCAAGTAGCCAAGAGGCATACAAAGCAACGCAAACAAGTTCAATGGGTGGGCAGGTCTGGCATGGTCATGGGCAGGTGCCCAAACAAGAGGCATGTCAAGATAGTTGAATGTGACATCCAATGACAGAAGTGTGGTATTTTTGCCCGTTGGAGTCAAGACGTCTGTAGAAGGTATGCTGAACGGCGAGGCTCTAAACAGCTGATGTCACATCTTTGGCCTCCAACCTAGTAACTAGTAGCCTTCTTGTTACTAGTAGCGTGGCCCTTTGCTCCTAGTAGCGTCCTTGCTCCTAGTAGCGATGCCCTTTGCTACTAGTAGCCTTCTTATTACTAGTAGCTTCTTGCTACTGGTAGCGATGCCAGATGCCAGGAGCCCCTAGTAGCTTCTTGTTCCTTCAGATAAAAATGCTCCAAAAGACACGACACTACACATGCCAAAGATGCGCAAATAATAGGGGCATTGGAACTTGCACATCTCGTGAGTTTCGGAAGAACTGAAATAGAAGCACCCATACTATCGGTTTTTCCCTCGGTTTCAACTATCCCCCTACTGCTTTGAATGTTTTATGAATGATTAGCAAGGTCGATCCAAAGACTCTAGCTGCATCGATAAGAGACACAGCTAAAACATGTAAGGCGATAGTTTCGTTTCTGAACGTGCAAATTGGATGTGAGGTTTTGGTGGCCTGCCTTTCGGCACTTGCTTTTCAGGCGCGGAATCGGCGCTTGGGATATGGCTTCCAACCTAATAGAGATGGCCCTAGTAGCGCTTTTGCTCCTAGTAGCGATGCCTAGTAGTAAGGCCAGGGGCCCCTAGTAATAGTAGCTTCTTGCTCCTAGTAGCATTTCAGACTTTCCTTTCTTGATGCCAACTGACAGGCTTTGGGGTTGTGGTGATCGGCTGTGAGGCCAAGGGGTACTGCCCAGAATTTCAATGGAACATTAGCATAAGTCCTAGTAGCGATGCCCTTTGTTCCTAGTGGCGTCCTTGCTCCTAGCGATGCCAGGAGCCCCTAGTAGCGTTCTTGTTCCTAGTAGCGGCCCCTAGTAGCTTCTTGTTCAGCATCAACCTTGCTCCTTGTGTGGGGCAGTGCCCAACGCTGGCAGTGTGCCAGAATGCATGCTTGGACGAATTGAGCCACCAAGTTGCACGCGGCCAAAGTGGCAAATGTGCTGGAACCATGGGCCAAGTGCTGTTCCTGTGACACGTGCGATGTACAGTTCGAAAAGCAAATGCGCGTCCAGGTGCTTTGTCACGAGTCTATTGATAGTGAATTGCAGCCCAGTTGGTCCCAAACGCTGTGTGCATTTCACGAACGAGCATGTCACACTGCAGAAGCATGTTTGCCGGTGATTTCGTTATGCTTCACGCAATTTCATCTCAATCATCATGGCTGCATCATGCGCGGGGTGAGTTTGGTTAGGGTCCACAACACGATTTTGATATAGCGAGGTAGACATGTGCTTTGTTGAGACAGTAGTTAGCGAACATCCCACACATACCGCAAAAGGTACCCGGTACCCTTTATCGCCCCGCAACTGCGTACCCAAACTCCAATCTCGGACAAGCGTCTTCACAACACTTCATCCAAGTATCTCACCTGGTAACAAGAAGCTATTAGAAACAAGTGCCTTACTAGTAGTAACAGGTGCCTTACTAGTAGTAACAAGAAGCTATTAGAAACAAGTGCCTTACCCCGGCCGAGTGGTTCTTGTCACGAAAGGTTGCCTCAGCAACCTTGAGTTCGATCAGCAACCTGGATCCTCCTCCATGGCCTGTCCGCTCTCCTCACTGTCAGGCCTGAGAATATTTTGCAAGGCTGCAAGATGCTTGCTAAGTTTTGAGACGTTTTCACTGAGTATCCCCCAATGTTTTTTTGTCATGGCAAGCGGCATCCATCCTTTTTAGCAAAAATCATTTGGAACCTGTTTTCTTTGCAATGCCATGATAAAGTACTAGACTAGACGGTACGATTTTGGAGAGAGGCCAAGTCTTGCACATGAAGGACAGTCTCTAAAACAATGTTTCTTGGCAATCAGACTGGTAGTAGAGATGAAATCCACCATGGTCAGTGCTTAGATTGACCAGTGGCATTCATATGCTCATTTGGCTCAGCGTTTGATCAAGGGTCGATCTTCTTTTCCGAGTGATCTTCTTCTCAACACAATGAAGCAATTCCTCCAAGCGATCCTGCTTGGTGTCTTCTCTGATGCCTTCAAGTTTGGGACTGAGCCGGTCGAGGTTCCTGTGGAAGTGGAGAGTTTGAACTTCAGCCTGGCGAACACCCGCTTTGACTTGGCCCTGGCGTTGCCTGTGGTCCTCGTGAACTTGTCGAACTACACGGGGCTTATCATGCACCACAATGAAGCCATCACCAGTGATGCCTTGGTCTCAGTTGTGCATCGAAAAACACCTGAGACGTTTGAAATTCTTTGAATCTTCACTAAGGGTCGTTGAGTCATTGTGTTTGTGTCCTTGCTTGTGAGTGGGGTTTTGTTGATTGGTCATGCTTGTGGGTTACTTGTGCGGAGCTCGTAGGTTTCACTGGCAGATGGGAGCTCTTGTTTGAACATCCTGTGCACAAGAAATGTTTTGATGCACCAACCCTACCCCAGTATTACACGAGTGGAGTGCTTGTGTGTGCTTTATCGAGTCAGTGAATCAGGTCACACACCACTTTGGCGACTTGCTGGCTGATCTCGAACTGCTCTACGACAAAGTGGAAGGCTTCTACACCATTTTGCATCAACACATGGGAGCGGATGGTCCCCTCTATTGCCCCAAACGCCACGCGGGCACCATCAGGGAGTGCATCTCAGTCGCAATGTGTTTGCTGCAATCGGCCGTGCCTGTGCATGTGCCGCTCTACGTCTATGCCTCCTACTTGGAGCAGGTATGGTTTATGTTGTTGACGATGTTCTGTTACATGTTAAGATTATTGTGCAAAGCAAGCATAGCAAGCTTCTAATTGAATAAGTGTATTGACTGTGTGGCCAAGACTTCTTGGCAAGTTGACCTGTTAGAGACCGGCAGGTGGCGCGTTTCGACGACCTCACCGCTACTTTGCTACAGATGTCTTTGATGCAGGAGGAGAATTCGACCGCCATGAATGAGCCTTTGATGCCCATCCCAGAGGAGTACGTGTGCAGTAGTGACGAAGATGTCGACTTGGCCTTGCTTCAGTATCAGACCTCGACCATGGCCACTTCGGTCGCTTTCAGAAAGGCATTGACTTCTTCTCATCGCATCTTGAATGAACATGAATCCAATAGCTCAATGGTGCACACAGAGCAACAACTAGAAAGTGCATGGCAACCAGTTTGTCACTTGATGGGTTGTGACCACACCCGTTTTTGGGATGTCTACTTCAGCTCTCATGAGCACAGCACGTCTCTTTTGGATTCAAGCCTTCCTCGCGCAGCCGTCCTGACAGCTTTGAAAGCTGAAGTGACTTCTCGTGTGAAGCTGGAGAACAAGATGCAACGCTTTGTGAGGGTTTATCAATCTGCTTTCTTCGGTTTCTTCAATGGACACAAAGACGTCTCCGAAAAGAGCTTCCATGGTTATCACGAGCGAAACAAGCAGGCTACGCATGGCTTCGTAGCTTCTGCAATGAAGTCCGTGGCCGAATTGGATGCTGCCCATGCCATGAGCATCCTTGGCACCGAGCTGTTTGTGAAGTACGCCCAATCAGTGCAGACCTCAGCAAACCTGGGCGGCCGCCGCCGCCGCAGAAAAGGGTTCGGAAAATGGGCCAAGAAGAAGGCTAAGCAAACGAAAAGCGTGGCCAAGAAGGGGATCGATGCGGCCGAAACTCATGTGGTCGACAACGCGGTGAAGTATGGTCAGAAGGCGGTGGATGCCGTGAAGAATATGGACGCAGGTGTTCCGGCTGAGGTGTGGAACAAGATCCCTGGCCCTATCAAGGATGATTTGGAAAAGTACGCAGCAAAGGCATGGGATGCAATTCCTGATGAGCTTATCAACGTCATCATGTCACTCCTCCGTTGCTTCGGATCAACGAACGTTTTCGGGGGCGCCGGCTATTCTGTCACTTCAGGACCAGTTTCCGGCACCATCGGTTTGGCCGTTGGAGCCTCTTGGGTGAACAAGATGCAGTGGAAAGACCTGATCGGAATGGATCCTGCAAAGGTTGCCCAACATCTTGCTGGTAAGCCAATGCCTGATGATACCTTTGTGATCCCGTTCAAAGCTCTGATTGAAGGGCAAAAGTTTCCCTCCGTTTGGCTTTCCCTCTTCATCAGTCTGACCATCGGCCCCTCTGTTGGCAAAGGCGCTGGCTTGTGGGGTGGAGTGAGCTTCGCTGCAAGCGTCTCTTGTGGGGTGGATACCAAAACCATGCATTCAAACTCTGATGACTCTGACCTGACCCAGAATTCCCTGTTCCGGCCGGACAAGTACGGCTCCTGTTCCGGGACTCTTTCGGCCAGTGTTTCAAGCACTGGATGGGTGTCTTTGGCAAAGCAGAAGGACCCGATCCCTCCTTGCCCTGCTGGAGGACAGTTGGGACCTTCCACCTGCAGTGTCTATGCCGGTGCCAGTCTGACAGTCATGTGTTGCTGGATGGATTTCATCACCAAGGCCAACAATTGCCGCTGAGACTTCACCCAGCAAGTTTACGGGGTCAGCAGTCCAAACATCAGTTTTAGTCATATTCTGCGAACACATACACTGCGGCCCTTCCATTTTGACTCAGTGTCCAATGCGGACGCTGTGATGGATGGACCAATCATCGCTTTGGAGAAGGCTGCTCAAAAAGTTGTGGCACGAGGGCTGTGCGTCAGTTCTGTCCCAAAAGTGTAGTGCAAGCAATCCATTTTTGAGGTGGTATGAATCTATCTATCCAATGGTCCCATGATGTCCCATGCACGGTTCGTGAACCATTGAGGCCGTTGAGGGTACACTGGCCTGATCTTGACGTTTGACACAGTGGAGGCCTCAAATTTGGACAGCTTCCAGTCGCACTGGAGACAGCGGTATAGCTTATCAACCAGCCATGTTGGAACTGATGGGAATACTTGGCGTAACTGAGTTAGAGAAAGGACAGCCCCCTTTCTTTTTCACTGAGGTCACTACCAAACCAGTCAATCAACCCTACTTGATAGATTGCTACCGGAGGATAGCCATAAACTATGTACTCCACATTTGCGGAGAGAACATGATAGAATCGTGTATATATATATATATATTATATGCTGGAGAGTATGCTGGATATTGGATGATGCTCAAGAAGCTAGTAGCGGGCGAATTACTTATTTTGTCAGGCGGTTTGATCCGATGTTGAGTACTTAAGTGCCCGGAGGCCTCGGTGTTTATTCCGAATAAGTGTTGGTTCCAGTAATGCCCTAGCTACGAGGAGCTACTGCTCGTAATGCCCTTGCTACTAGCTTCTTGCTACTAGTAGCAATGCCCTTGTTTCCCTTGTATTGACCTTGGATTAATCCGCCTTTTTCCATCATTCTTCTGGAAGTACCCAGCTCTCGTGATTGGCAGGCCTCTCAAAGCTGGCTGAGTTTAGCAGCTTTTGACATGACGTAAAAAGCGAAGCAGGTCTGAGTTGGTGGTTCAATTTTTGGGTGTTCCAAAACCAGTGGCTAAGATTTGTATGTTGTGGATGTGCACTGTTCGGTGGCTCTTGACTCCCAATATCTCAGAATGGCACTGATACGCCCAAACCAGAATGGGATGCTGGCGGCGGCGGCAGCAGCAGCAAATATAGAATAGCCAAACGGTTGCGCCTGTTGCTGGGTGCCAGCATTGCTGATGTACTTGATGTTTTCCGATAAGCTTGCTTTTCGGGCCCGACGCATGCACGGAGAGCTGTTGGCTTGAGATGAATTTTGAAAGTCAGGTTTAAGAACAGCAGTTTGCACACTCGACATTTACGAAGCCATCGTCGGTTCTCCAATTTCGGTCAGAAATCAACGACACCTATTGTCGGTGGGATGGTTGGGGAATGCCATGCTTGGTTGTGTTTGCTGTCCCACAGTCCCTTGACGCAGCAATGTCAAACCGTAGACAGATTGCAGAAACATTGGCTCAAGAGAAAAGGTGTCATGTGTCCGTTTAGTAAATTTATTTAGTTCAGATGCGCCAAGCTGGGTGCGGCGCTCAGATCACGACAGTACTGATGCTCACAGGATTGTTTGGCACAAATTGCCCCTAATGTTTCAGCACCATTTTGGTTTGAATACTTTAAGAATGCCACGCTACTAGGAGCAAGGACGCTACTAGGGGCTCCTGGCCTTACTACCAGGAGCAAGGACGCTACTAGGAGCAGAACAGACCGTTCAAGTTGCTTTTCAGGCGAGGTGATGAGGTTTCGACTCCTCGAAGTGCCACCAGCCACAGCGGAAGCCCCAATGTCAGAACCAGCAGTTCTTCAAGCATGAAACATGAAAACACATGGCTTGTTATGTAAAACGTATAAAAACACATGGCCAATCGAGCTCGATATCGATCGATTTATGGGCACCGAATGCCAGTCCATGTTCTTAGACTTGGCTTGTCGTTGCCGGGTCGAGGCGTGCTTCGAAACATTTTGAAGTCAGGGATGTCTGAGGCAGTGCGTTGCGATGAGAGAGAAGAACGATTGACTATTACATTATACATATATCCTTCATTCACGTTTGCTGGTTTGGCACATGGGCTTTTTGTAGTAGTTGGGTAGTTGGTAATGAGAGAGTAGACTTGTCATTGCAATTTTCTATTTTGCACTTCTTTTGCCGCTGGTGTGTGTACTTTTCTCGAGGTGCAGGTTGTCATCCACTCAGAGATGGATGATATTGCGAAGGAACCATCCTTGCACATTCCCAAACGACAAGGAGATGAGATGGCATGCACAGGATCTAATCCAAGTATTGAAACAAATCCTCCAAGTTTTCAAAGCTTGGCCTGTCCGACCGATGTGTCCAGGCATGTGCTGTCCCATAATGGTTTGCAATTGAGTGCTCGGAAGTTGCACACCTGTGCATGTTTGAGAATGGGCAGATGCTGCTGTGTAGCTCTGAGTTTTTTTGGGACTTTTTGTGTTGGCAGCCGGGGTTTGCCTGGCCTTATTTTGGCCGAGGGATCCAACATTGAAATTGAGAAAACTGGAGACTGACGAGAGGGATTTGATGGATTTTGTGACACTGCTGTCGGCACCAGCATCTCACGAACATCCTGATGCTGTGGAAGCTTCTGCTTTGGTGTTCATTGCAGAAGTGGAAGTCTTCAATCCAAATCTCTTCACCAGCGAAGCCTCAGAGGGGCACCTGGAGTTGATATGTCGTGGCATGGCAGGGCCTGTCGGCGAGGGGGCCTTTCAGGCCGTAACTCTGGAACCACATGTCACCAAGATAGTCACGGCGAACTTGTCCGTGAAGTTGCGGGAGGATTTCCTGACATTGATGCAAGCTGAAATTGCAGCATCCAGGTTTTCGCTTTCCTTCAGTCTTCTAGCTGCATCTACTCTGCGCATATTTAGTCTTCAGCTACAATACCAAATGGCATGTGAACTTGATGTGGCTCTCTCTGCTTTAATGATGTCAGAGACAAGGAGCGGAGCAGTCACAGGGAAGAATTGCTGGCACCAGCTCAGCTTGTAACCTATGATCTCTTCACCTGGGCTCGAATTAGAACGTTAAAGCGTCCAAGTCCTCGAGTCTGCAGCAATGCTGAAGAGGAACCTGTTTTCTGGTACTAAAATGCAAATCCGAAGTATCAAACATGGAGCATTTCCAGATCCCATTACATTGCATTGTTTGGCTTGCCTTATTAAACACTTATTGTTTTCGCTTAAGTTTCCAAGCACACATTTAGGTAACCAAATCATTAGTGCGAGCGTGAGTTATCCTGTGTCTTAGCTAGGAGCTTCCTATTGCTAGTAGCGTGGGCTAAGAAAACAATTCCTTTTTGTTGCTACTAGTAACAAGAAGCTACTGGGAACAAAGGGCATCGCTACTAGGAGCAAGGCGGCTTACTAGGAACAAGAAGCTACTAGGATCAAACGGCACCGCTACTAGAAGCAAGGCGCCTTACTAGGAACATGAAGCTACTAGGAACAAAGGGCATCGCTACTAGGAGCAAGGCGCCTTACTAGGAACAAGAAGCTACTAGGAGCAAAGGGCATCGCTGCTAGGAGCAAGGCGCCTTACTAGGAACAAGAAGCTACTAGGAGCAAA